TAATAACTCAAAATTCGCATAATTCGCATAATTTGCAATTTACCGGATGCATAATTTGGCATTTACCGGATCATAATTCTGGACACCCTAGTATGCATAATTTCAAAAACGCGTTTACGATGAATAATTCGTGTTTACAAGACGTGAAAGATTTCTTTGAAAATAATTCAAATTCGGAAATTATACTAAAGCAAGAAAAGATTCACGCGTCCGAATATCGTGCTGAAAGTGAATATTTAGTTGCTCAATTTATTATCATTGTACTTTTAATTTATTCTTTTTCTGGATGTTACATAGCTAGACGGATTAAAAACATTTTAAATGCTTTCGGAATATCCAAGGATGACTTTTCCAAGAATGGAGTTCAATCAATCAAAATATTGGCGACTTTAGCTACAATTTTAGAATTGAGGGATGTTGAACGAAGCAGGTAAACTTTCCTTATTATAATTCATATAATCCTCAGATATATAATTTAACGCCTTTAAATCAAACTTAATAGCTTTTTTTCAGCATTAGCACAGTTGAACATAGATTCATCCCACATTGAACGGCAGAATAGGGATATTTCATATACTATTAATTCATTAGAAATTTCTACACGAGAAGCTAAGCTAAGATACGATAAACTAAGAGAGTTCGTATTACCTTTGTAGTCGAAACAATCTATCAAATAAGTCTAAATGCTTCTTTTTTACATTTAATATTATTATTGTCTAGAATTTTGACAAACTTACGAAGAAATTGGGATACAAAAGAAGATCAAAAACTCAGAGAATGGAAACATAATACAACGTTATTAGACCAAAAAGCAAAAGAGTATCAGCTGAAATTATCACGATTAGAGGTAATTATGTACATTATTACGATATTTAAACACATTTTTTTAATAAAATCGTTTTACATAGAGACAATATGATGCAATGAATATTGAGGGAGGTGGGTTACGGTTTCAAGATTTAAAGAACAAAGAAGAGCAAGTCGATGCCCTGGAACATTTAGTAAAGGATAAAGCCAAAAAGTTGAAAACTTATCAAGTCTTGCCCCCGGTATTTTATCTTTTTATTTTTATTTATTTTTTTTTTTAATGCACAAAATGTGTCTTGTAGAATCTTATTTATCAGATCTTTAATGCCGTGATATATTTCTTTATCAAGGAT